AGAATTCTTAATAGCAATTAAGAATGTATCAATACCTATTCTTTTCTCTTCTTCTATAATCCATTCATTTTTTTGAAAGAAGAAATCGGAAATGTTATTATTTAAAAATGAATAAACAGAATTATTTTCTTGTTTCCCCTCAACATGCAGACATTTCTTTTTAATTTTTGGTACAGACCAGAAACTCTGTCCCTATCTCTCTCTCTCTCTCTCTCTATATATATATATATATATATATATATATATATATATATATGTATATATATATATATATATAGTAAAATATCAAACTTATTCAATATTTATATTTGTGTTCTGTTTTTCAATTTTATGGACTATGTTTCTGAAAGTAACCATAGTCTTATACAAATGGTGTTGTGAATACTGTTGAATATAACTTCGAATGAATAAGCATTGTAAACTGGGAAGCAATAGATATTTATTTGTCTTGGAATGTGATTTCATAGAAGTATGCATCCAACATTGCAACAGAGACATACCTAAGGAGCTTCAGATTTTGTGGCAAGAGCTTAATCTACACACCACTACATTCAGTGGTTAAGTTTCTTTTTTCTATTAAAATAATACACATATTGAACTCATATAGAATGGAATGATTTCCAAAGTATAAAATATATGATTTGACATTACGTACTGTTCAGTGAAAGCTTTAGTTTCTTCATTCAATTATGTATTTTAATATAGAGAACACAATCGCTTTATTATTAAGTTGAATTATAGTGTTTCGAAACTTTGTAAGAAACTCAGTAAACATTAACCTAGAATCCTATTGTGATTGTGTGAAGTTCATGGTTAAAAATCAAGGAACCAATGCAAAACATGCATTTAATACATTTTAGTCTATAGTGGTTATCTTAATGATAATACTACTATAGAAGTTTTGAAGAGATTATACTTATTGATGACCAATTTTGACAAGTAATTCTCTGAATTTTATTAAGAAACCCTGAAAAACGAAGTTTAAACATATCGAATGTAAGATAGCACCCCCAACAACAGCATTAGAAGATGGTTGTGCACTATTCCGACTCAGTGATTTTATTCACTAGATCTGATGTCTCTCGTTCTTTTTTCCGACTGGATGGTGGATGCTCACCACTGAGGTCCCATATTATTAGAACGAAAGAGCCATCTAAGACTCCTCGGTCTTCAGTGATTCTTTAACTAAGACCAAACCAAGAAGTAAACCATAAAGTTAATGATTATAAGAAATAGTTGAAGTGATATCTCATATCATTTATTTTACTTCATGATCAATCTTACCATCATTATATAATTCAACTAGAAATAATCAGAATTATCTACAGTTACGTTTTAACCTAAAAGCATACAAATTGAATGATGCTTTGATTTAGGACAACTTTTAATCAACAGTTGATTTAATTGTCACGTCAACTATGAAAATCATTGATTCACATGAAATCCTAACTATAACTAAAACTGACAACAATAATACTAAAGAAGTGTAATTGTCACATTATTTCGAAAGTATCGAAAGTATAAAAATACGGTTATATAAAACAGATTGAAACAAACCGAATTTATTTATTGTAACCGAATTGGCTATGAATTATCCATGGATAACAATAATTGGCATACATCGTTTTACATCAAACTTTTTGAAGGTTAAAAAAAACAAAAAAATCATTTTTATATCAATCAATACTTGTAGAACTATTTGTAATCAGTTTAAAGGTGTACAGTTATAGTTGGGATTTGTTTCATTCATTAAATATGGGAATTAACATTAGATTTTATTCATGAGATAAACACTGATATTATTGTCCATTAAAACAATTCTATATAATCAAACCATAAAGTTTAGAGTATACAAAGCAACATAACTAATATAAGCTATTCATATTCCAAATTATTTTACGTTTTATTATGCCATACACTATTACAAATAGATTGGCATCATATAGATAATGATATTTAGCAAAACAGTAAAATATTCATGTAATTCCATTATCCTATATTTCTTTTACCCATTCAAATATTTAGTCTAACTTTATTCGTTATTGTGTATATCATGTAACCACATATTTTTAATATGACTGTCATCAGTTATAACATCAAATCTTTAACTAAACACGACCATTTCTTTGAATAATAATTTAAGCATCAACTTAGCTACAAAAATCCTTATCTAATTGAATGTTTCCTTTGGTTTCTTAGAAATTTTTATTCTTTTCACTATATTCACATAATAAGCTACTGACAAATAAATATATATTAGTAACTGTAAGGGTTTTAATTTTCATATCTTTAAGATTTAGAACTAAGATTTATTAGTCACTCACTAACCTATAAGGTTCCTGAATTAATGCCTCAATATCTACTGTATCCGTAAAGTAAAATTTCAGAGAACTTAAGCATTCACGTGCCAGAATGAATGTCATGAGTTTGAGTCATGTGTGTGGTGTCATGGATACGTACTGTCGAAAAGTTCTATACTGCAACGAAACAATCATTCAATGCTTCCAGATTTTCATGAATGGTCTAACTCATGTCGACTTATGAATTCAACTATTAATATATTCAAATTAACAACTATCAGTGTTGAGTTATCGTTTGAGTACAAACGTCAAAAATGTCAATTTACATTCACCTGATTATTTCATTACTAGTCACTGTACAACATGTAATATTTTGTATGTAAAGTGATTTACTTTTTATTAACTTTTCTCTTATTTCATCCATTGTATTACTAACTAACAAATTACAAATTATAAATAATAAGATTCATTTAGTGAAGTTTTGTTCTCTGAGCTGAATGGTTTGGTCGTCCAACTCAGAGAACAAAACTCCACCAAAATCATCCACCTGAGCTACTAATCTTCTCCACCATCTCAATAAGATTCTTGTTAAATGATAACAAACTAAATTTTATAAAAAATAATTTTATTTAATATAAACTATATCTCTATTTATTTGTATATTTAACTGTCAATCAGTAAACAAAATCAGTTTACTTTTACATTTCTATAGTATATCAGATGTACCATTTATTATAGTATTCTTAGTAGGTTCTATACTTTTATGCTTATTTGTAAATATTAAAAAAAAACAAAAAAAAAACAAAAAAACAAAAAAAAACAAAAACAACAAAAAAACAAACATACTATATTTTTATTGGAAGAAAAAAAGAAAGAAAACTAGAAAAAAACATCATTGTTTGAAAATCAAGTTACTTTCTTTTATTTTTTTATTGTTTAATTAAACACTTTAAATAAAATACATTTTCATTAAAATTTTTAAAAAAAAACGTAAAGCTTAATTCATGAATTACATTTCGTGACAATTGTATTGATGACTAAGTATTTCTATTTACAATTTTTTGTTTCATTTTTACAGTATTGAAAAAAAGGAGAAGAAAAAGAAAACATTATTGATGGTTCATATCATGGATTGACTTTAGTCAGATGATTATCGAAAACCAAAGTCAGTTGAATATGTTGTATGTATCAAATGTATGTGTAATATATAATATTGTTCATCTTACTTATTTAGAACCCTTTAAGTTTGGCAATGAAAAAGTATTACTTTTAACAGAATGAGTTATTAAGCAAAGATGGATAGTGGCTAGTAGTGGAATCCATGACGCGCATTTCGTTCTAGTTGGGACTCATCAGCTGGATGTACCTGCATCTCAGAGTTGATGTTCACTCTAGCACTCAAACTCAGTACCATTCACTTCAAATGCCATCACATTATCCACTCAGCTACTGAGTCCTGATAGCCACTTGTTTTTGCAATGGGGTGAATTTAAATTCACTTGGTATTGTTTTGCTTGTATCTTCCCACTGAGGTTTAAGACTGCAATTGATCAATCTGTTATTGGCATATGTGCATACTGTGAATTAAGGTAATATCGAAGCATACGCATCGTATGTATATATACCAATAACAGACTGATCAATTGCAGTCTTAAACCTCGATGGGAAGATACAAGCAAAACAATACCAAAAGAATGAATTATTTTTTTTACAAAGTTTTGTATTGATAAATTTAGTGGATTCTTAATATAAGTAGTTTATAGTCATTTTGTTGTGAATTTTGTGAATACACCCAACAACTATGCTGTGTGATGATTATACAGTCACATTTATATATTCGTGACTGTTTTAATCAACATATTTAGATATGATATAATAAGTACTAGATAAATACATCAAGTCATGAGTTTGTATAGGAATATTTTTGAACAAATCATCTCAATCTTTGATGACTCTAGATGTTCAACAATCACAGTAAGAAATATACAGATTTTTAGTGAAATTTGTCAAAAACATAATCAATTAAATGATACTTACTATTGAGGTATAAACCTTTCATGCTACAACTTATGTTAAAAATGTCATATAGGTTGTGTTAGTTTTACCTTGGTAAAGATTTATCATAGGAACTAACTATTAACGTAATCTGCGCATGATATGATTACATCATTCAATGAAATATATATATCGCTAAATTATGAAACCCTAAGAAAAGGGACTACTATTAGTTCGAGTTGAAAATTTCGATTAGGAAATAAAAATGATTCAAATCTATCAATGATACTTCAGGGTGAATAAGTAAATTGAAACACAATCATAAAAACTCATAAATTATGCTTATATTTGTCAGTATCTATTGTCTATAATGTTTCATTGAATAATATTACTATCTTATAATGATAGATCATGCAATAAATAAATCATATTGCCTAAACAATTGAATACGACGTATTGGATCTTGCTTTTATTTTAATCAATTGCATTTAGTGTATCATTCAAACATAACTTTATTTGAAAGTGATGTTAGTAAATCGATTGGTTTGATTACTACTAGTCACGATTGTCTAACAAAAATCTAATGTGATATATACTTTAGTAAAGTTACCTAGTCACACACACGAAATAAACAACTGAAACAAGCATTACTAATACTATCTTTATAGAATAAATAGTTTATTTAATAACCATAAGATGACTTACCAATTGATTTTTATGATATAATAATTCCAAATTATCGATGCTTACAGAAAGCTCAATATTCGTAGATAAATCTATAGAATAAATGGAACATAGTCAAATTTAAAGACGTTAACATTGATCATTGTTTAAATAGATGATGATAATTTTAACGTTTAGTGTTAAAAATACTTATATTTATTTTCATATTGATTGTTTAGATCTCATTAATGTTAATCAGTCACTGAAATGCAGGTATGTCCAGCTAACACGTCCCAAATATGATGAAACGTGATTCCTGGACTTTACCGCTAGAAACCACCCATCTCTGTTGAAAACACCTATAGATATATATTTATATATATATGCAATAACAGATTACACTGAAAACTGAACGAAATTTAATGGTTAAATCTGTTTTAGTCTTGACTAATAATTACGGTGCATTACGTGATCACTAATCTAGACTGAATGTCACTGTAACAGTAGAAGTGTTTAAATATTCCACAGAAAGGTTCGGATTCAGACTTAAAACTTGTTTTATGAACTGTCGTCAAAGTAGTTCATACTTACCTAAGAATCCTACGGTATACAATACTTCCTATAAATTTTTTATTGAAATAAACATTTGAAATTAGCATGGAAGTAACTAGGAGGATTTCAAAACTTATCATTATAAAAACAGAATAGTTAATACAATTGTTCAAGTATAAAACTCTACACTTATTTTACACAATATTTATACGTATTTATACAAAGATGATACAACTTAGTTTTATTTCTCAATCTGTAACACAAATAAATGTCTAGATTCATTCAATCGACTGGTCTTTCAACTTTTAACTAGTTATTTGGCTATACTTTAATATCTCACTTTTCTTCATAACTCCTGAGAACAATTCTTGCATAGTCTGATAAAATTAAACAAGAATTTTGATAGATAACTAATTATCTTCTATAGTAAGTAGAATGTGTAAATATTGATCAGCAAATATCACTTTCATCGTTTTAAATAGTTTGATGTTGAAAAATAAATTTTAATAGTTGAATTTATGAGTCTATCTAAGCTAAACCACCATTGAAAACTCAGAAGCACTAAATGGTCGTTTTATCCTAGTATAGGACTATTCAGAAGTGTGCATCTAGGATCCTGCAAAAGGTATTCGACCAGTGAATTCAACTATTAAAATTACAACAAAATCCATAAACCTCATTCTGATCATAAAAATAAATTAGTGAGATTTCTATTAGACAAGTTATTTAGTACAACTGCTATGAAAGAAACATTCATATTATTTGTGCGTTAAATTCTGTTATTATTTGTTTTAATATTTGAATTGTAGATGCTAGACTATAACATTATAAGATGCTTGTGGATTATTTAATATCAAATACTTTATGAAATGTTTATATTTTATTCGTTTTGAAGACTCCTTTAAAAAAAGTACTTGTACGCAGTATCAAAACTTGTAAATATGACGAATGTCATCCATAAACAAAGCTATTATCATTATCACAGTTAGTTATATACAATATATCCTTGTGAGCCAGGGTAATTTTACATTGATTTTCATGAGAACCAGACATCATCCGGACTTTCACGTGACAACCTAAACAGTACAGCTCAACCATGTTTAACAGGAGAACCAGACATCATTATGCTAGACGTTTACCATTTAAATATTTTCTATTAACTCAAAATTTATATAGGTTACGTCAAAATAAAAGATAACTACCAGAAGATAGCTTTGGTCCCATTGATGGACCTGGTAGGTAACGATATAACTGAATCCATAGTTGTTCCAACAGTTCAGGGCTGAAAACATTTAAAGAAACAAAAAGATGAAATTTTAAAGTATATTCATTATACATATATTTAATGTCATTTATCACTATTTATTAAACTAAAACATAGTAGGTGTGGTGATATTGATCAATAATGGATAATAATAATAATAATAATAATAATAATAATAATAATAATAATAATAATGAGAATAAATTCATTCTTCACTTTCCTAAAGAATCTTTATTTTCAGTGTTATTTATCATTCATCTTGCTGTGTTGAAGTAATGAGATAATTTAGCAGATGTAGATTACTGTCAGTTTCTACATTGACTAACTGATATATTGTTTTTCATTAATAGATGTTACTTCAAATGTTTATAATACCTTTTAGAGTGTTAGTGTGATACATCAGTTTGTTACTCAAATTAATTGTTATTTTAATATTATAAATTATAAATCAAATTACCTAGTTATTATTAGCATTATCATCTGTAAATTATGAAATACACATAATGTGGCGTGTGCTACTTATATTGACATAAGTAGTGTATGATATTAGTCGTGAACAGAAGGTCTGGCAGCAGAGAGACAAGAGGATCGAACAGTAAAGAATGGAAACAAAATGCAATTTGCATGAAGATGCAAGAACAATGAAGTCTGAGTTATTTTGAGACAATTGATGGACATTTTGCAAATTAAGCATTTACTTCATGATTGTTACATTTTATTAACAAGTCCTGTAATTTTGTGTTAAATGCATTAGACTGTCCCCAGCCGTGTTCTGTTCACTACAATACCAGCTTAGAAACCAAAAGGGTTAAAATATGCCTTAAATTGATTCAAGTGAGAAACTGGATTCATCTAGTATAACTACATATACAATGAATTTAATCTTTTTTTTAATTTGAGAGATGAGCTAATTATAATTCTACTTTGATAATAAAATTCTAAAACCAATAATCTATGGAACTTAACGGTCAGATAGTTTCTTAAGTTATTCAAACTGCAGTAAATAAAAATATAGCTATTATTTATAAGAATATTTGTGAGATGTAAGTAAATAGTTTGACTGTAGTTGACCACCGAGTAAATAGGCGGTCTTAGATATAGAATTTGTATATTTAATAATTGCAGCAATTTAAACCTAAACACTTTCAGTTTTTCGTTTGGCATGAATATAACCTGTATATGAGATTTATAGACAGCGAGATATCATATATTTTGTATTGAAAGTGATTTTTAGTCGATCTTGAAGTAACAATGTGTAAATCATTGTGTATAAATCACATCATGGACTGACTTTAATCAGACAACCATTTACAACATTTGAAGAGTCACATTCCCAAACGAATCAGACATTCGATGCTTTCTGATTTTTAATGATTGTCTAACAAAGGTCAAATCATGGTTACAATCATAAACGTCAATAATCTTTATAAACCCACTAAACGTGGTAAATCCTCGTGAAATGTTTTTCATATTAACATAATTGTTGAAATGCTGTAACCGAAATTCAAGTAAAAACAATAGTGATAATTTTTTATCCACACTTTTGAATTGAGAAGACAGATAATCAGAACTTAACTTAATTGATGCAAAAGGAAAATAATGACGTCTATCCACTGTGATCTATTTTTAGAAGTGTTTAGGTAAACAGTCAGTTTATTTCCTAAATTATGTCATTGAAAAATGTAAATTTTTATTATTGTATTAACAGGAGAATTATGTAAAGTATCACTCACTCTTGAGGAATTAAAGTTTGCCGGTGAATTGGTGAATAGAGGCCGATAATTCATGACTAATTATTTCAATGCATATATGTGTATGAAACATAAAGGTGTTTGTATACATCTATCAAAATGTGAAGTATAGAAATACTGTAAGAGCGAAAATGGATAGAAAACCTAAAAGAAAAACATTTCCTGGAAATATTTTACAGAATGATCTATTTACAAATAAGTAAATAAATACTTTCTGATTAAATTATCTGTATTAACCTAGTTTTGTAAATATTGTTATTTGATATGAAAGTTGGTGAATTGATTTGGAATCTAGTGATGGTGAGACTATAATTTATGGACGACCTTTAGGCGACGCTAAAGTGTACTTGAGAATGTCCACCTACTGACTAGAGCTAAATGAGGGTCTTTAACCAATGTTAAAGATAAGGATTATGATTTACAGTTGATGGTCAGATATAGGGATCAGATTTAGGGTTTTCATCACGAACTAAGATCAGCTGAAAGGTCAAGACGCTATTTAACCAAATGGATAAAGACTTTCGCGCCGAAATGCAAAACCTGTTATCGTAAATCTGATTGGTTCGTTCATAAATTATAGTTTCGCCCTAGTGATTTATGAACTGTAATTTTAAATTAGAAGATCAGCAGACTCTTTGTCAGTTTCAAGTAGTTAAAATTCATAGTAATGAAGATTAATTTTAGAAAGGTATTTGCTAAGAGTTACAAAACACCTATCTAGTAGTAGGTTAGTAATAATTCGATCAATTATCAAATATGTAATTTCAACAGTTGAGATCATGAGTCAGTTAAAACTAGACCACCATGGAAAACCTGGAAGCAATGGATGGCCGTTCCGTCCCACTGTGGAACTCCTCAGCAGTGCGCATCCACGACCCCGCCTCGCGGGATTCGGACCCAGGACCTATCAGTCTGGTGCCAGACGAAACGGTCTTTCAGTGCTTCTATGTTTTCTATAGTGGTCTAGCTTCAATTGACTCATGATATCAGCTGTTGAAATCGCTACAATCTCCACAAAACCCTTTCTGATATCAAATATGTTATTGTAATTTAAAAAGACAAACTTCACATGTACTTATATATATATATATATATATATATATATATATATATTACTTACTTTGTAAGGAAAATGGTAAACCGTGAAAGCATTCTTGAGAGAATGTCTCATTTACTTGACATTGGTTAAGGGATACTTCTTCAGTTATGATGAGTTTATATTGATCTTATCTTAAGATTTATTAAGATAAAGTTATTTCAAGTTTTAACACCATAATTGGATTAAAACAAGTTCTTCTAGAGATCTTAGGCTTCCTGAAGTAGTTCTTATAATAAGTTGAGAGCACAGAGAGTTAAGAAGTACAAACTTTTTCATTTATTTTGTAGTATACAACTAAGATATTTAAGCACTAGCAAACCTGATAATTATTTAAAATGATTTTTTAATAATAATATGAAGAGTCAAAATCGATTAGTTGTAAACTTGACAGCGTTTTACACGAGGTTTTAATGCCATTTCATTATTACTGAGGAGGAAATCTTGATTTACTTCATTTCTGTATGACTACAAATTCTATTAGCGCTAATTATGTTTACGTAAAACAAAATACAGTTTCTTTATTGATGTTTTGTAATTAATTAGATTAGGGGTAATTGAATATTAATAAATATATAGTACTTAGGGAAATTTATCACATTGATAATCAAGTTATTTTATAAGATTTTAAGAACAAACAACCTTCCACTGTGATAAACTTGAAAACGTTTAAATAGTAAAAAACATACTAGATGGTGGTCAAGCTACATCATGAACTAGCTGAAGTTACAAATGTTGGTCAATAAACCAGAAACATCGGTTTAATGTTTAAGCGCAAGTCTTGAAACATAAAAATTTGAAGTGTGATTATTGGTGAAGTTAAATGTGCACACAGGATAGAAATTTCACTCTAGTATGAAACAGCTGTTCAGGGATACCTGGTTTTCACCGTCACTCTAAGATTTGTCTTTAGCGAGCACTACCTTCAGAATAAAATAATCTCCACAAAATTACTTAATCTAGAAAAAATAATATGTTAAGAAACTGATTTATCTTTATGAGTTTTTTTCTACACACAGTATCAAATTCGTCAATTGCATTAGAAGAGTGTTTTTTTAACGCATTATATAGTTCATGGTAAGACAACCAAATACTTGCGATTAGATATTTACAAGTTCATGAATAACCCATATGACGCATATTCAAAAACCATGACCTATTCAGACATATTTCATTAATCTTTATTTTGTGCCGAATATCTTGAATTTAAACTACATACAATGACACATTTTGCTGACTAGTTGCCTTGCCTTCGGGTATCTATTCACTTATTATACTGAACAGTTTGTAACCGACTGCAATTATTAGTACTAAGTTAAATAATCAATTCCACAGGCATAAACATGTAAAATTGCTTTCTGTCATATCATTAAGAAATTAAAACAAAGCTATCGATCAATCGTCATTTCGATCTTTGATTGTCAGTCACAAAGTTTTATTTGCCAGTTATCTAAGGTATGTACAAATGTACGGTTCAATCATGTCACTTGGATAATAGTGTCATTTATTGAACCAAAACTTTATAGTACGCATTAGATCATAACTAGGGTAATTTACAATATTTCTCTTGATTATTTATTGGCTAAACAAACGGATAGCAATTTCACTTAAATTTATTAGCAATCATTTACATTTATTTATTTGCCTTCCTAACAGATAAGAACTGGATATGAATATTGACATGAAGGAGATCTTTGGAATAGCTTTTGCAAAATATGATCAGCCTAATTTAAATGCGCAAAAATATACTAAACTAATTTTCAAACTTCGTAGTTTACATCGCATGTTGATTTTAAATGAAAAACATAGATCACTGGGCACCTGGATCATAACCACACCAGTAATTGGACCTAAGACCTTTTATTCTCGTTGTGAGCGCTAAAATTTTAAACCATTCTACTTATATCCAATAGATTACATGTTGAACTTCAAATACATTTGGAACTGGAAAATAATCTAATTTGCCTGCAGAGTGATTGATAATTTTAGGAATTATATTATTTTTGTTTTAATTTATATAATTTTGCATAGAACCAAAAGCATTAACTAAGTAGATACTAATAGGTGATTACAGATTATTATTCCTATATCATAAATTCATTACAATTTATTCATTCATTTGTTGTATTCTAGCGGTAGGTAAATATTAGTCAACTATTTATTAATGAATA